AATCAATCAATCAATCAATCAATATCCTTCTAGGATTTTCTTTCCTTTTGACTATTCTTCCATGATAATATCTCTGTATTTTTATACTTACCCCATTACCCTGTTCCAAATCCCCTTCATGTTTTCCCCCTAACGGACGGAAAATAAAATTTAAAAAATATCTCAAATTTCAATGTACTTTTCTTCTGCTTTGCAGAAAATCGGATTCACCAATGGAAACCTGTTCTTATATGGATCCTGAATTTATCAAAAATGTTATTTAAGTTATATTTTGGCACAATCATATGAACAGATTTTGTTATAGCATTTGATTTCATATTAGCTTTTGCAGGGATGTTGGCAAGTCTTGCAACCCAAGTCCCAAGTCCAAGTGTTGGGACCCAAGTCTCAAGTCCCAGGTTCAAGTCTTTGGTACCAAGTCCAAAGCCTCGAGTCTGAGTGGCAAGTCGCTGCCCTGCCATCAGATGCTTAGGACTCAGGACTTGGCACCAAATAATCAGGCCTCCCACAGCCCACCTCTCACACCCAGAGTGACTTACAGGAAGAGGTGGGTTGGAAGTCCTGCCCTCCAACTATGGCAGGCGAGTGTGTCACCATGAAAGGCCTCCTGATGTGCTGCCTTTGAAGATGGTGGTGGTGGCACCAGGCAGGCCAGCAAGGGGTGGGGCCATAGGGACCTGACAACAGAATTTAGAGAAATGGGTCAGAGTTCCGAGTCAAGTTGCAAATCACCCGAGAAACTCGCAAATCAAGTCTCAGTAAAATCGCCAATGCAACTTCAGTCTGACTCAACAGCAACAAGCAAGTTCCCATCCCTGAATGTTTTATTACAGTACTTTCAAATGCTACATGCCTAGCCTTAGAAACCCGTTTTGTATTACCTCTACATTTAACTTATAAATAGAATAGCTTGATTCAGTTGATGTTTACTAGCATTGGTATGAGTTTATAGCAGGGGTCTCCTAACTTTTGACCGTGATGGCCACACCAGATATTTTCAATATTTTTGAGGGCCAAGAAGACAGGAATGTGTACTTACATGAGAACATACACACGGCTGGCCACACACATCCCTGCACACATGCATGCAGCCCCCTGCACACACCCTCACATGCACGTACACCCCCACCCCACACACCCCAAGTTGCGTACACAGGCTGAAGGGAACATGCCAGATAAAACAGCAAGGTGGCCCAGATGTGGCCCACGGCCTGTAGTGTGGAGACGCCTGGTCTATAGAATGGAAAGAAGGGGAAAACAGGATCAGGAATGCAACAATGAGGTCAAGTTGCAGGAAGCCAGATTTCAGTGGAATATCAGAAAAAATCCCCAAATGTTGGAGCAGTGGAACCTTGAGAGGTGGTGAACACTCCAACACTGGAGGCAGTCAATAAAAATTTGGTCAACCACCTGACAGATATCCTTTGATTTCTCTTCCTGCATTGAGCTGGGGGTTGAACTCGATGGCCTTAGAGACCCCTTCTAACTTCACTATTCTATGATTCTATAAACAGGTTGTCACAAAGCCAAAGGATAAATCAAGAAGGTAAGTAAAGTGGAAATTCTTCTGAGAAAAGGGGATTAATATTTAGATAAGGTTGTGATATGTGACTAGCTAAGTATATAAGATGCATAGCATGTCCATGTATTTGACACTCTGTTCTGAGCGCTAGTTCCATGTGTTCTTCTTTATTCTGCAGAATAAATTTTGATAACAGATCTTTCATCGCTGGTGTTCTCTTTCTCTCCCATCTTGTAGGTGATTAGGTCTGACCTGCCAAGGTACATGAATCAACATTTTTGTAACATTGAGTCTTTTACTGTTCTTTAGATTTACTCTAATTTTTGATATTAACAGTTCATGGTCAGAGACTTTGAGACATTAATGTAAGTCACAACTAAAGTATAGCCATTTGAGTCAATGGAACTTATGGAGGAGTTGACTCACCAAAATCCCACTTATTCAATAGCTCTCTTCCTATGCGATTTGCTACAATAAGCAACAGGATTTCAGCCAAATTCTTCTTTTTTTAATTCCAGAACATGTCTGCTTTGTACTTGACCCTTGCCCAATATGGCCTTGGTCTATACTTCTCAGAGTGGTGAAAATTTTAGAGCACTCTGTTGGAAAGTCATTTTGCTTAACAGAGTAGCTGCAGAAATGTTTCCTGTGGACATTTTGAAACCCACTTTATTTCACTGTTTTCTGCAGGAAAAAAAAAACAGGCCAGAAGTTGGGCTTAAAGTACAAAATCATAATTAGGCATTCATAACAATGCATTTTCTAAATAAATCTTAATTCGTAATCTATATGTTAAAAAAAGTGAGGACTGGAATTGATGTAAATTCGCAGTGTGACCGAGCCCTGAACTATTCAGTTACCAAATCATAAAAACCCCAGATCATGTTCACAAGGCCATGGATGTTCACCTCTATCTGGACTTCGAAAGGCCTTTGCAATTCTTTGCTTCTTGCTATCCTGCTTTTCCAGAAAAGGTGGAGTCAGACCGACTCCTGATTATGTGTGATTCTTAACCGTGTGCCAGTTTTTTAGCATATATACATTACTGAAACAGTGACGACTACATTGGCTTGGGCATGTCATGAGAATGGCTGACGGTCAGATTCCAATATATCTCCTGTAAGGAGAATTAGTCCTGGGAAATCTCCCCAGATGGAGACCACAGCTGCAATACAAGGATATCTGCAAGCAGGATCTGAAGGCCTTAGGAATGGACCTCAACAGATGGGAAACCCTGACATCTGAGCGTTCAGCCTGGAGGCAGGTGGTGCATCATGGCCTCTCCCAATTTGAAGGAACACTTGTCCAGCAGGCTGAGGCAAAGAGGCAGTTACGAAAGCAGCAAAATCAGGGAGCTGGACAGGGGAGAGACTGGATTTGTCTTCAGTGTGGAAGGGATTGTCACTCTCGAAATTGGCCTTCTCAGCCACACTAGACACTATTCCAAGTCCTCGATACAGAGCACGATACCATAGTCTTTCGAGATTGAAGGATGCTATGGCCAGTTAAAAATCAGCAAATGCACCCTCGCATAGCTATATCCAAGAGGTTTCAAAGAAACAGCATTGGCCATTTGCACCCCTTTGATAGGCAGAAATTCACATGGTGCGTCTCTTCTAATGACAAAAACTGAACCTGTTGAATGTCCACCCCAGCGCATCACTCAAGTAGCCCTACCAGGACAACAAAAGCGAGCCCTGTTTAGAGTTCAGTGGAAGTATTTGGAAAAAGAAATCAGATTTCAAAAGCTGTACAGTACTTTACTTCCCAAGAGTTCAGAGAAAGCATTTAGAAAGATAAGAATCATGTTTCAAAGTAAGAGCTGATGTGAGGGAGGGATTTAAGATGTACTCTGTGGCAGAGACTGTCAAGGAGTCTACTGCTGATTTCTGGAATCACTCAAAGTGGCCATTATATAATAATCATCATAGAAACGCAGAGCTGGAAGAGACTCGATGGGTCCTTGAGTCCAGTCCCCGCCAAGGAGGCCCAGCAGGAAACCGAATGTCCAACGTCTGGCTCGGAAGCCTAAACCACTGAGCTATCTAGCAGTTCTTTGCATTGTCGCACTGGTCTGTGTTGCAGAGGAAGCATTTCTTGAGGTGCATGCACACTTGTGTGCATGCACACAGCACAGGATTCTGGGACATTGTACAATTTCATTAATATACACGCTCGGCTTCCTTCATGGGCTACCCAGGCCTCTTGCGTTCCCTGATGCTCTGGGAGTAACCAAGCTTTCAACTGCAAAATGATGACAATCAGAGCCCTGATTAAGACTAGATGGGCCCTTGGCCTGATCCAGCAGGGCTCTTCTTATGTAGAGA